ACATGAAAGCCTGACCTTACATCTTTGTTTCTACAAAGGGAGCTATACATTTTTTAAAAAATATATTAATTTTTTACAGAGAGGAAGAAAGAGGGATAGACAGTTAGAAACATCGATGAGAGAGAATCATCGATCAGCTGCCTCTTGCACATCCCCCACTGAGGATGTGCCCGCAACCAAGGTTCATGCCCTTGACCAGAATCGAACCCGGGACCTTTCAGTCCGCAGCTCTATCCACTGAGCCAAACCGGTTTCGGCAGCTATACATTTTTTTAAAATTTATTTTATTTTATTTTTTTTACAGAGAGGAAGGGAGAGAGATAGTTAGAAACATCAATGAGAGATTCATCGATCAGCTGTCTCTTGCACACCCCCTACTGGGACGTGCCCACAACCAAGGTATATGCCCTTCACCGGAATCAAACCCGAGACCCTTCAGTCTGCAGGCCAACACTTTATCCACTGAGCCGAACTGGTTTCGGCAGGGAGCGATACATATTTTAATAGTTTTATGAGAAAAGCTTTCACCTTTCAGTCATTGTAGTGTAGAATTTCAGTAAAGGAAAATGGACCAGCAACATTAAACAGAAAGATGTGAGTCTGCCCTAAACAATTTGGTTCAGTGGATAGAGCGTCAGCCTATGGACTGAAGGGTCCCCGGTTCGATTCCGGTCAAGGGCATGCACCTTGGTTGTGGGCACATTCCTAGTAGGAGGTGTGCAGGAGGCAGCTGATTGATGTTTCTCATCAATGTTTCTACCTCTCCCTCTCCCTCCCTGTAAAAAATCAATAAAATATTTTTAAAATATGAAGACTTGAGTCATATATGTAATTTAAATTTAACCAGACATTAAAAAGGTAAAAATAGGTAAATTTAAATTTTTTAAATAAATCTTTATTCATATTATTACAAATGTTCCTCCTTTTTCCCCCTCCATTGCTCCCCTCCACCAGGTTCCCACACCACCCTCTGCCCTTTCCACACCCCCCATTGACCTCATCTATAGATGCAGTTTATGTTCAGTCTCTTCCCACTTCCCCCACACCCCTTTTCCCAGAGAATCATCAGTTCACTCCCCTTCCATACCTCTGATTCTATTATATTCACCAGTTAATATTGTTCATCAGGTTTTTTAATTCCCTTGGTTTTTAGATTCACTTGTTGATACCCTGTTTCCCCAAAAATAAGACAGTGTCTTATATTAATTTTTGCTCCCAAAGATGCGCTAGATCTTATTTTCAGGGGATGTCTTATTTTTCCATGAAGAAGAATAACGGTACACATTTATTGTTAAATGAAAATAAAGGGAATTTATTACCTGTATACGGTATGGTAGTATGGTAGTTGTCAACACAAACCAGACAAACTGTGAATCCTATAGTCTCAAGAATTTACTCAATTATTCAATGACAATGATGTCATCATCTTCTGGAACATCTTCATAACAATCCAGTTCCAGGTGAATTTCTTGTGACTCCATTTCTTTCAGAATCAGTGGACCAAATCTCTCATGTTTAGCTTGGGGGGGGAGGGGGCTTATATTTGGCTCAGAAAGAAACCTGTAAGTAGGTCTTATTTTCAGAGGATGTCTTATTTTCGGGGAAACACGATAGTTACGTATTTGTTGTTCATAATTTTTATCTTTATTTTCTTCCTCTTTCTAAAAGAACCCCCTTCAGCAGCAATTCATATAATTCTGGTTTGGCGGTGATGAATTTCTTTAGCTTTCTTTTATTTGTGAAGCTCTTTATCTGGCCTTCGATTCTGAGTAATAGCTTTGCTGGGTAGAGTATTTTTGGCTGTAGGTTCTTGCTATTCATCACCTTGAATATTTCTTGCCTTTCCCATCTGGCCTGCATGGTTTCTGTTGAGAAATCCGCTGATAATCATATGGGTGCTCCTTTATAGGTAACTACCTGCTTTTCTCTTGCTGCTTTTAATATTCTCTGTCTTTTGCTCTTGGAATTTTAATTATGGTGTGTCTTGGTGTGGTCTTTTGGATTCCTTTTCTTTGGAGTTCTGTGCGCTTTCTGAACGTGGTGGGGGAAGTTTCCTTGGACCAGGTGGGGGAAGTTTTCTATCACTATTTCTTCTGATATGTTTTCAGTATATTTCTTTCTCCCTTCTTCTGGGACGCCTATAAGGCGTTGGTTTGCTTGAAGTCCCAGAGATTTCTTACACTATCTTCAACTTTCTGGATTCTCTTCTCTTCTTGCTTCTGTGGAGGAGTGTCCTCTGGCTCTTTGTGTTCCAAATCTTTGACTTGATTCTTGCGATCTTCCAGTCTGTTTTTAGGACTCTGTATAATATTTTTTATTTCAGACAATGTATTTTTTTTTTAAATATATTTTATTGATTTTTTTACAGAGAGGAAGGGAGAGAGATAGAGAGCTAGAAATGTCGATGAGAGAGAAACATCGACCAGTTGCCTCTTGCACACCCCCTACTGGGGATGTGCCCGCAACCAATGTACATGCCCTTGACCGGAATCGAACCTGGAACCTTTCAGTCCACAGACCGATGCTCTACCGCTGAGCCAAACCGGTTCCGGCCAGACAATGTATTCTTTATTTCTAGTTGATCCCTTTTCATATCCTCAAAGGTCTCATTTATTTTATCAGCCTTTTCTAGGAAATTCTTGAAAAACCTTATAAGCGTGGTTTTGAACTCTATATCCAGTCACTTTTTGTCCTCCATTTCTTTTGTTTGTGATGTTTCCTTGTCTCAGCATTTTCACAGCTTCCCTGAGTTGGTAGGGTGGCTTTGTGTTCTAAGGTGTCCTATATGGTTCAGTGGGTCAGCCTCCCAGTTACCTGAGGTGGACACTCTTGGTGCACCCCTTTGTGGACTGTGTGTACAGCCTTATTGTAGTATGTCTAGTAATAATTAAAGTCGTTTTCTAATACTTTTTTAAATCGAATTTATTTAAACAATACAACAAAATTTAATCAACAATATAGTTGTTGTTTTCTACTACTTGTGCCCAACGCTCAGGAAGCATTTTAATCCCTCTGTTGTAAAATTCTTGTGATTTTGATGCAAAAAATTCGGTCAATGCATTTTTGAGGCATTCTTCATTATTAAATTTTTTTCCAAGAAGAAAGTTTTGCAAAGAACGAAACAAATGGTAATCAGAAGGGGCAATATTAGGAGAATATGCAGGTTGAGGGAGAACTTCCCATTCCAACTAGCGCAGTTTTTCAGCAGTGATTCTTGCAGTATGCAGTCGTGCATTATCGTGGTGAAGAATTACGCCCTTCCGATTAATCAGCGCGGGTTCTTTTTCTCTTAAAGCTTGGGCTAACCTTTCCAATTGGGCACTATACACTGCACTTGTAATGGTTTGGTTAGATGGTAAAAGTTCATAATGAAGAATTCCTTTAAAATTCCACCAAACACACAACATCACTTTTTTCGCATGCAAGTCAGGTTTTGGCGTGGGCTGCGGAGCCTCATTTTTGTCCAACCACTGAGGCCGCCTTTTCAAATTAACATACAGCACCCATTCTTCATCTCCCGTAACAATTTGCTCTAAAAACGGCAAATGGTTTTGACGAGAGAGGAGCGAACTGCAAATTGTGACTCTTTGATTACGGTTGTTGTTGGTCAACTCATGAGGAACCCATTTTCCAAACTTTTGGACTTTGCCAAGTGCACGCAATTGATTGGAAATTGTTTTTTGTGAACAATTTAAAGTTGTCGCAAGCTCCTGTTGGGTAATTTGAGGATTTTGCACCAAAAGAGCTTGAAGAGCTTCTTGATCAAAATTGGACACACGGCCTCGACCACTCTTGTCATCTAACGAAAAATTTCCCTCGCGAAATTTCTCAAACCAACGCTGGCATTTTCTGGCGCTAAATGCATCTTGACCAAGAGCACTACAGATGTTTTTTGCAGCCTCACTTGCTTTTCTTCCTAATTGGAACTCGTAAAGCATGCAGTGCCGAATATGCTCTTCATCCGCCATCTTCTTAGCCCTAGTTTTGCAACAAAAACCAAACCAAACACAAACTTTTTCAAGCAAAACTTGTTAATTGCACTTCACACGTTCTGTAGATACCACGTGTTTGAAGGTTATGTCAATACAAGTCAACGCCAAGCAAGATTTTAAACGAATGTTTAAAAACGACATTAATTATTACTAGACCCGATAGTTAAGTCTTAATTGTTATTGGTACCACTGGAAGGAACTGACCTCCAGGCCAATTGGTTGTGAGGATCAGCTGTATCTATGCCAGGAGACAGCCTTATTCAATTAGACTTGTAAAATTGCAAAAGCCTCTGTGTTCAGCTTGGATGGGGCGGAGTTTCAGGGTGGAACCTATAGCCTTGGCTTCCTGTCAGCCCTATCCTATGAGGTTGCTGAGTCTCAGTGTCCTTTGGTACTCACTGCAAGCACCTCTGAGAGAAAGGTGCCCTCTTTCGCCCACTGCCAGACAGTCTAGTCTCTCCCCCAATGAGCCTGGAACTGAGGTTCAGTGCAGTTGGAAGTGGGGTTAGAAGTGGGGTTCAGTGCAGTCCCGAGCTTTTGTCTCCTTCCTGCTAGGGCAATCCAGCGGCACAGTCAACAGTCAGTCCTCTGCCCACCATGTGCGCGCCTCCGGAGCTCTGCCTTTCACTGCTCCCCTGAGTTTCCGCCTTACAGCCTAGAATCCCTCTGTATGAGCCTGGGTCCACAGGGTCTCGCCCAGAACGGGGGTTCAGCACAGTCTGGAGTTTTTATCTCCCTGCTAGGAAATGCCAGCCAGGCACTCAGCTGCCCCCCCTCTCCGATTCCTTCCTCTCCCCACGCAAGCATCTTGTCTCCGTACCTTAGGCTTTCACAGCTCCTCGAATTTTCCTTCTGGTTTTCTCTCTCCTTCTCGTTGTAGAATTTCGTCAGTCAACTTTCCTGTAATTCTGGATAATGTCCATTTTGTATTTTAGTTGTATTTTTTTGAAATTGTTGTGTGCGGCTGCGTTTACCTAGGCCGCCATCTTGGTTTCTTTGTTTGTAAATTTAATTTTTATATATTTAATTTTACTTAATATATCTAAGGTATTACCTTATTTTAATATGTAATCATTATCTTAAATTTGTTCATGAAATACATTTTATTTCTACTAAATCTTCGAACTCCAGTATTGTGAACTTAGCTTCGACTCACTGCATTTGAAAGACTCAGTGAACAAGTGACTGAGGCTACCATTAGACAGAAATAGTGTTTTCTGCCAAAACCGGTTTGGCTCAATGGAGCAGGCGTCTTCAAACTACGGCCCGCAGGCCACATGCAGCCCGCAGAGGAGTCTGATCCGGCCCACCAGGTTTTTTGGGCAGTGAGCGCAGCCGAGGTGTTAGAGTAGGAATTAGTAGTTCATATAGTCCGGCCCTCCAGCTCTCTGAGGGACCGTGATCTGGCCCCCACTTTAAAAAGTTTGAGGACCCCTGGGATAGAGCATCGGCCTGCGGACTGAAGGGTCCCAGGTTCAATTCCGGTCAAGGGCATGTACCTTGGTTGCGGGCACACCCCTGGTGGAGGATGTGCAAGAGGCAGCTGATCGATGATTCTCTCTCATCGATGTTTCTAACTCTCTATCCCTCTCTTCCTCTCTGTAAAAATCAATAAAATATGTATTTTAAAAAGAAGAAAGAAATAGTGTTTTCTAAATGAGTCATTACCAGAACCTGAAAGACATTCAGAGCACAGGCCATTAAGGAGACTCTTAAGATTAACCAAATTACTGGTTTTTATTAATGAGCCACAGGTTACTTAATCCAAGTGATAGCATTAAATTTTGATTGTATATATTTAAAAAATAAAACTATTATGAACTTGATTTTACTGTGATAGCTAGCAATATGCACATAGTGTTATTTTGGATCCATAAAAACAGAAATTCTCTTGTATCTTTTCCCACTAAGTTGACTCAAATTCACAGGCTTAGTGACTTTATTAGTGCCATCTTTAAAAAATATCTGTTATCTCAAAATAGACTTGATTTGTTCAGGTCCATTTAACTCCTTTCAGAACATTTTTATTGGTGGATCCCAGCGAGCGCGAGGAGCGTGTCATGGATGGCTTGCTGGTGATTGCTGTGAACAAGCACCGAGAGATTTGTACCATACAGTCCAGCGGTGGGATAATGCTGCTAAATGAGCAGGTTAGTGCTGTGGTTAACATCCCATTTAGAAGCTTTTTCTCATTTTTTTTAAACTAAAATTCAACAAGGGCATTTCCAGTGATTCATCCTCGGCTGTGTTGGATCTGGTTTAAGTACTGTCATCATCCTGTTGATGAGACGAGTTACCTTCCTCTTCCCTGCTCTGCCCATGCATGGCCTCCAGAGTCTAACCTCTCTGGGTAGAGAGACACGGTACTTTCCAGGGAAGAAAGAGGTTCATATTTCTAACAAAACAAATCAAAACAAAGTCACAAATAGGAGTGATATTAAAAGTAAAGTACTTGTAGAATTTGGTATAATAAGCAGTTCTCAAACCCGGCTCCATATCAGATTCCCATGGACTTTTAGAAAAAAGGCTGCCTGGTACCGGAGGTGCAGGTGTTTGACCACAGCCTGCTTTGTTGGAGCTCCAGCTCTGCCTGAGACTGACAGGCCTTGGCCAATGATTTCAGATCTTCGTGCCTCCGCTGCTTCATTTATAAAATAGAGAGTAAGTTCCTAGTGACACCTTATTAGTAGAAGAAAGTAAAAGTAAGTAGGATGTGACACTGTAAGATACGTTGTGTGCAGTAACTGTAAGTTTTCTCATCACTGCCATTCCCAGCTCCCTAATTCCAGAGACACGTCCATTAGACGCCACGCCTGAGAACCAGCCTTTCTGAAAGCTCCAGGGATGCTCTGTGGCTGGTGCCGTGGCTCACTCCCACAGAGGCAGGCATGCACCGAGCATGTGCATGTCCTGGCCTTTCCTGGGGTCTGTTAGTGCTGTGGGAATGTTTTTGGGTCTGTTTCCTTAACGTGAGAGTTCTTCAAATATTCTAAAACAACTCACAACTTGCTTTATTTTATGTCTACATTACATTAGGAAACAAAGGCAGGCTTAAGTTGTAAAGTTAGAAAAGCTAATCTCATTCTTGATTTTGTTAGAGAAAGCTATTTGGTTTGCTGTCTTTAAATAATGGCTCATTTTTATAAACAGGTTTTGAGATGCAGTAAAATAGCTGGTGTGAAAGTGGCGGAAATCACAGAGCTAATCCAAAAGGCTTTAGAGAATGACCAGAAGGTTCGGTAAGTTTAATTTTGTTAGAACCAAGTGGTCTTTTATAGATTTTTCTGTTGAGGATTCTTCTTGCACAGGGGTAACCACACACTTTCCTTATCTGTTAATCTCAGTTGAATATACTAAATGTTTTTTGAAAATTGATTGAACTGTTTGTTGTATTGTATTCCAACTTAGTTTGTTTTGAAAAGCCACATAATATTTTTCTTTAAAAAGTTAACATGTTCTTTGGAAAAAGACTCTGGTAATGCAAATTAACTGAAAGGACACACACTGGGCCGATTCCCATCTTCTCCCACGTGACGTTACACAGGACCTGAAGCCCCGAATCAGTGTCTTCTACAACGTGGAGGTTAATGCCTGCCTGTGTGGCTGGTTTGAGGATTAAAAAATAACCTACTTTAAGCCCTTGGCATGTGCCCAACACATGGTTCAATACATGGTAATTACAGGAACTTTTTATTATGTCTCTTGATAGGCATAATAAACTGGTGAGGATAAGTTAGTCTCACCAAAGGGTAAAATAGTTAACATTTTTTCTTTTTTGTCTTGTCCATCTATCATCCACTCCCTCCTCTTTTATCCCCCCAAATACCACACACAGGAAAGAAGGTGGAAAGTTTGGCTTTGCAGAGTCTATAGCAAAACAAAGGATCACAGCATTTAAAATGGAAGAGGCCCCTGTTGACACCTCTGACGTTGAGGAGAAAGCAGAAGAAATCCTGGCTGAAGCGGAGCCTCCCCCAGACGTGTATCTTTCCTGGTGCTGGGGTTTCTTTTCCAGTAGCAACAAGATTCATTCCACTGTGGTCTTGCTAGTCTGTGGAAGGGGTACATACTGGCATTTCTCTGAAACACTGTACTTTGTTAGGAAAAAAACATTTAAGATACTACCGTGTTTCCCCGAAAATAAAACATCCTCCGAAAATAAGACCTACTTACAGGTTTCCTTCTGAGTGAAATATAAGGCATCCTCCCAAAAATAAGGCCCCCCCAGGTTCTGTCTCAGAATGAAAATTAATTTACTGTAAATTGGTCGCTAGGGCCTAGCAACCAGTGACATTACTCGGAGTCCTGTGTGGAGGCAGAGCAGAGGTCAGAGCAAGCGGTGAGCGCGGGGCGGGAGAGAGGAGGAGACTTTCGCAGATGCGTGTAGAAGAACAGGAGGATTAGAGCGGACAGGACGCGGCAAAGGTGCCGAGTGCTGGTCTGTCTCTGGTGACACTACTTAATGCTCGAGGCCACCCTCATGATGACTGAAGGCAGAGTCCAGTGCCTCTGCAGCAATGGATATTTTTGTTCCCATCTTTTTTTAAAATATATTTTATTGATTTTTTACAGAGAGGAAGAGAGAAGGATAAAGAGTTAGAAACATTGATGAGAGAGAAACATCGATCAGCTGCCTCTGGGGATGTGCCCGCAACCAAGGCACATGCCCTTGATTGGAATCGAACCTGGGACCCCCCCAGTCTGCAGGCTGACACTCTATTCACTGAGCCAAACCAGTTTAAACCATTTCATTTTCTTTTGAAAAATTAATCTTAATCTCAATTGCACGGTCAAGCATTATACACTATTACACATTGTTCTTGAATTTTTCTACATTCATCAAATTTATTAGTATACAACTAAATTGTTCAGAGCCAGTCAGTGTTTCTCACCGTTTTGTCCATAACAATCTTGAGTTATGTTTTTTCTTCATTGTTCAGCCACCTAGTAAATTTCTTCTCCTAAGATTTTGAGGCACACTTCTGTCTTAAAAAGAAAGCTTCCTTTAACTGCTAAGTGTTTCTAAACCTGTGCTTTGGACTCCTGGAACTGCCCAGATTGGAGAAGGAGTAGAGAACTCCTGGGGTGACCTTGAAGACTCTGAGAAGGAAGATGAGGATGAAGGCGGCAGCGATGAAGCCATCATCTTCAAAGGAGTGAGGATGGACGTGGGAATGGAAGTTTCCAATACTGGAAGCCAAGGTGGGTGGTACTGTATGGCTTTTAGTGTTAGACCAGAGGCCCGATGCACAAAAATCGTGCAAGAATTGGCCTTCTTTCCCCCAGCTGTTGGTACCAGCTTCCCTCTGGCACCTGGGACCTGGGTTTTGCTCCTGGGATACAGGCTTCCCTCTGGCCCTGGCTTTGTCTGGAATGATGTCCAATCTAATTAGCGTTATTATAGACTAGAGACCCGGTGCATGAAAATTGGTGCACTTGGGGGGGGGGGTCCCCTCAGCCTGACCTGTGCCGCCTTGCAGTCCAGAACCCCAGGGGATCAGGCCTAAGCTGCTAGTCCGACTCCCTCTGGCAGCCCAGGAGCCCTCAGGACATGTGTGATTAATGGAGGGAGCGAGCCTAAGCCATTCGTCAGCTTAGTGTTGCCTTGGTAGCAGGAGAGGCTTCTGCCACTGCACTGGCCAGCCATGAGCCCAGCTTCTGCTCCACATCCCAGGTCAGGGACGCAGGCAGGTAGTGTCACATCCCAGGTCAGGGACGCAGGCGGGCAGCTTCACCTCAGCGCTGGGCAAAGACCCAGGCAGGCATTGCCATGTTCCGGGACAGGCTGACAGCATCATGTCTCTGGCCAGGGGTGCAGGCAGGCAGCTTCACCTCAGCACCGAGTGAGACGTTAGGGCTGGGCAGGCCTGGGTGTGCCTGTTGGGAGCAGAAGTCCCCCTTCCTTGCCCCCCAGCTCCTGTGCATGTACAACCCGTTGACTGGTCGTGACTCGGACACTGTTAGGACCAATTAGCATAGTACCTCTGTACTATGTAAAGGATATTATGTAGACATGTAAATTATGTACGGCCTGCTTCCTGCAGTTGGATCTCTTTAGCGCTCCCTCAGAGGTGGGAGAAGCTCCCGCCACCACTGCTGCGCTTGCCAGCCGTGAGCCCAGCTTCTGCCTGAACGACATCTGCCCCTGGTGGTCAGTGTGTGTCATAGTGATCAGTCTTCTGCCATTCGGTCAATTTGCATATTAACCCTTTATTATATAGGATATATTTATAGCATATAAGCTGCTTCCACAGTGAGACCATGAATGAAGCTTTAGATTTTCCATGTAATTATATATACATCAGCCAGTCTTTATGCTGCATAGAATTCTGTAGTATTGAATGTTACTAGTTGGTTTAGTTATTCCCTTATTGATAGGCTGTTTTATTGCTAGGGAGCATCCTTTCATATGTCCCTTTATATATTTGTGAACTGTTTTTCTAAGATTAATAATACTGCTTGAATATTCAATTGCTAGCTTCAAGAGTCATATTTTCAACTGAATAATAAAGGTAGACTTAAACCAGTTGGGAGGACAGAGCAGGTAAAGCCTTTCTAAAGCATATAAAGTGAGAAACTAACTGAAAACTCAAAACATGAAGACCTGATATACCAACAGCCAAATGGGGAAAGCGATAATCCACATTATGTATCATTAATGAAGGCTCAGGAGAAAACTACAAGGAAATTCTCACATATAAATGGCCAGTTTACATATGCCAACCCTGGTAGTAAAGGAAATAAATTCAAAGCAAAAAGATAAGAGCATTTTGATACTGCTGTATTGGGCAATATTAAAAATACTAGCATTGGCAAGGTTGTATGAGAAAATGGTTCTTCATAGACTACTTTTTGGAGTGTAAAGTGGAACAATGTTTATGGAGGGTTCAGCAGTATCGTTTGGAATGTATACATACCTTTTAGCCCAACCACTGTTTCTAGGTATTTCTGTTACAGTGTTTATAATAGGGAGAAATGAAAAACTTAGATCTCCATAATTAGCAAATTCTAAGATAAATTGTGGTGCCTTATAGAGTGGTAGGAGCACTTTGAATGGCATCTTGACTTGTTTCCAAATTGGTTCTACAAGATGATATATACACTGAGTGGCCAGATTATTGTCCTCTGAACGCATAATAACCTGACCATTCAGGATATGTAGTATATCTACACTAATAAAAGAGTAACATACTAATTGACTGTACCTTCTCGATGCCCACCAGCTAATCAGGAGTATGCAAATTAACACAACAAAGATGATGGATTAATTTGCATACACAAGCTCCTAGCAGCCAGGAGCGGGGCAGGACACTTGCATTGTCACCAGGGTAACTATGTAAGTGTTCCACACCACCTCAGCCATTCTGAGCCTCTGGGCAGTGTGGGAAAGCACAAAGGCAGCTTGGGGCCAGGGTGGAAAGTCGGCTCCATGTGGAGCAAGTGGTGCCAGAAGCCAGGGGAAGGAAGGCCCATTCTTGCACTTTGTGCATTGGGCCGTGTGTGTGTGTGTGTGTGTGTGTGTGTGTGTGTGTGTGTGTATATTAGAGGCCTGGTGCATGAATTCGTGCATGGGTGGTGTCCGGCCAGCCTGGCCAGGGGGAGGGGACATGGGTAGTAGGCTGCTGGTTGAATTCCTGGTTGAGGGGACAATTTGCATATTAGCCTTTTATTATATAGGATATACACTGAGTGGCCAGATTATTATGACTCCTGAATGTATAATAATCTGGTCACTCAGTGTAAATCTATATATATAGATTTCCCCTAACTTTCCAATTATGAATGTACAGAATGATGATGTAATTAAAGACACGTTTGGGGAACCAAGCATGCTGTTTCAAAGCTCCAAGAAGTTACCCGAGGGAAGGAAAGAACCAAGTAGGCCTGGCAGCCCGCACTCAGAGTAACCCAGACTCTAATTGTATGAAAGTTTTTATTTATTTTAATATATTTTTATTGATTTTTTACAGAGAGGAAAGGAGAGGGATAGAGAGCTAGAAACTTCGATGAGAGAGAAACATCGACCAGCTGTCTCTTGCACACCCCCTACTGGGGATGTGCCCGCAACCAATGTACATGCCCTTGACCGGAATCAAACCCAGGACCTTTCAGTCCGCTGAGCCAAACGGGTTTCCGCTGTATGAAACAGTTTTAGAATTGCTGCTATGGAAACCAATTTGGAAACTTTTTTTTTTTTTTAATGAGATTACACCTGTGATACAGAGGGTTTGCTTCCAGACCTTCACAATACAGTGAGTTACTACTTTAATTCAAAAACTTATTGCTCAAAAATGCTAACCATCACCTGAGCCTGTAGGGCCTTTCTGAATACAGTGAAATCAGGTGCCTGTAGTTACATTGCTTCCTGAACATTTTCTTAGAGGCCCCTATTGTGCTGTCAGACAGTGAAGAAGAAGAAACGATCATTTTAGAACCAGACAAGAATCCGAAGAAAATAAGGTAACAGTTTCTGGTTTATTTCTGATTTTATTCTCCTCTTACCTACTGTAAACAGAGTTGTCTCTTTCTCATTAGAAGTCTATAAACATTAGGACGTAACTCTACAGAATTGTTTGGATGCCTTTCAAAGTCACTATTTTACTGTCATAGTTGGCAAATGTTATATCCTACTGGAAAAAAGTAAGGCTGCTTATTTTTGTGATCCAGAAGTTAACAAGCACAGTGGGGTGAATTAGCTTCTAGTAATAGTACTGGTTGGTAAACTCTTAATTGACTTTATTCACAGAACACAGACCATCAGTGCAAAACAAGAAAAAGCACCAAGTAAAACAGCAGCGAAGAAGAGAAAAAAGAAGAGAACTGCTAATTAGAACGCACATGGTTGTATTTGTGTACAGAACTATTAAAAGGATATTTATTTAAGTGCTAGAAACCTTGAACATTTTTTATTCACAAATCCATTACAAAATCTAGTAATTTCCTTTGCTTTTACGTTATGCTCTTAATAAACCTTCTGGAAAACTTAACAGTTTATAAATAACTGCCACTTCAGCCGTGTCCAGGTGAAGGAGGAGTAGAGAGCACTTTCCTGGTGTGCACCAAGGACCACAACTGGTCAGCAAGCAGGCCCACTCGACATGCTGGTTATGCGAGCCAGCAAACGGTCAGATGCTCAGGAAAGTGAATGTCAGAACTACTGTCTGTTTTCCCAAAACTATAAGGTAGTTGAAATCTTTTAAATTTTAGAACCCTTTCCAGTCCCCATAGGAGAAGTTTATTTTTCTGTGAAACCCTGAAGTCAAATTTTTACCTCAAATTAAATTTGACTTACAAACTAAGTTTTCCAAATCAATTTATTAATTCTTATTCTTATCCTGACAGCTGGCATCATTAATACTTTAACAAAACTACTCATAATCAGTCACATATCTAAGATACGATAGTACATGTACAAAAGATATACAAATTAAAAAGGAATAGAGACCATAATTTGTACTTGACCATAACGTTTGTATTCAGAAATGATTGTAAATTTAAAACTTTAAAAACTGTACACCATATACCTTGATTTAACTCTTAGAAAGCAAAGTCAGTCTTTCACTGTTACACATGTAGTGTCTCTGGTGGGATGAGGAGAGAAACACCATGATACCTGTAAACAGGGGAGGGGGGGAAATCCACTTTCAGTCAACATTCATTGAGTGAAGGAATATACTAAGAACTCAAAAGTGCTGTTTCTACCAGAGTAAGGAATGATTACAAAACACATACACACATGCCCCTTCCCTCTTCTCCCTCAAATACAGGTCAGATACATAGCCCTGCCAAGAGAACAGCCCCGAAAGAGGCTGTGCCCAATTCGTGGATCCTTTCATAAAGGTCAGATGTCACAGACACCCTGGGAAGCCAGCTTTGAATAATGCTGCCTTAGCCCCTTTGGCTTAGTGGCTAGAACGTTGGCCTACAGACTGAAGGTCACGGGTTCAATTCCAGTAAAGTGCATGCGCCTCAGTCCTGGCCCATGTGGGAGGCAACCAGTCAGTGTGTCGTCTCACATCGATGTTTCTTTCCATCTCCCTCTCCCTTTAACTCTCTCAAAACCATGGGAAAAATATTCTCTGGTAAGTAAGGATTAACAAGATTTGGCTCAGTGGATAGAATGATGGCCTATGAATTGAGGAGTCGTGGGCTTAATCCCCAGTAGGCGGCCAATCAATGATTCATCATTAATGATTTCTCTCTGATATCAATGAAAATACATGAAAAAAACATTCTAATGTTCTGTCTTACTTGGAATGTTTGTACTTTTCTCTGATTGACTGCTGCGCATGCTGGGGCGCTCTGAGGTAGGTCTGGTGCAGGTCCAGGAGACAGGGCTTCAGATTCTCCAAACTGTAGCCAGTCTTACGTACCAAGGATTCTGGCTGCAGAGGGAGCAGAATACCACTGAGTTGATTTCAGGAGCAGACAAAAGTTAACAGTTGGCAGTGAGCTGGAGTTGTAAATTTCAGTATTAACAGGTCTACCAGTTTTCTAAGCCGGCATCCCAAAGCTTTTATGCTGATTTGGATCGATTTTGACTACTTTCCCTGCAGCAGGTTGGGAGGCAATGCTTTCAGCACACCTTTAAAATCCAAGCAACAACAAAGCTTTCTACCTAACAAACACATTTAAACTGTGTTAAACAGTTTTCCCAGGTCAGTCAGTTAAGGGCACAAGCAGTTAAGACCCAAGGCATATGTGTGATAATGTAATACATACCCAGCTTTGTCCCGTGACTGTGTAGAGTGCTAGATGAAAGGCTGCTCCGGCAATAACTGATGGCAAATACTTAAGGTAGGGGTCAGCATCTATCAAACTTAACTCTCCCAAAAACTGGAATGAAAAGTAATATGCTTTATGGTCATAAGAGCTCTAGAATTCAAACCTCACATCTCTGCCTTCTGAATATTTCCCCTGAAGACTGACTGTAGAGCCACCATAGGGGAAAATTCCCATAGCCTCGTCTTTTAGATATATTCACTATCTTAAATGTTTGCCATTCTCTTCCTCTCTTTCCTCTTAATAACTTTGTTTTTAAATCCCCAAGGGAGAGTGAAACATCAATCGATTGTGTCATGGCTAGAAATTGAACCCCCAACCTTTTGGTGTTCTGGTATACAGGACAAGATCCAAGCACCAGCCAGAACACTTTTTATAATTTTAAAAACAATCTGGCTACCATTTCCCAATACTTTATTTCTATTATCTTTTGCCAATGGTAGTCTTCCTTCTATACTAGAGTGTGAATCTGTCCCTTGAATATTAAATCCCTTGACCAGAGCTGCATAATAAAACTAGGGCTTGTCCCTAATTGTGACCTAACAATCTTGCATCAACAAAATGAACTTACCATAGCTAAACTTTCAACTTTGCAGTTCGAAGGCTGCTGGTGCAGAAAGTACTGAGTGAGGAACTGATTTATAGTTGGTGCCGCTAAGTCAAAAGAAAGGACTTTCAGAACGAGGTGCTCCATTCTCAGAACTTGTTTCTTGGTGTAGGTATCATCTGTAATGTACACAAACTCTGCTACCTCTGGGGGGTATATTTCTTCAAACTTCCTGCAAGAAAAAAGTTTTAAGTAATCAGTCCTAAAAGAGAAGCAAGCATTAATATTCGAATTCTGAAATCCGTCTAACAGTTTACACAGAACAAATCCAATTGCCTGTTTCTGTGAAGACTGAGTAAATGCTAATTAGAAGACCCAGATCAATGAAGGACTTTCAAGATCTTTCTCCCAGTGCAGTCAAAGGAAATAAATGAGAAGACTTCCCAAGACAGAAACAATGCTCCCAAAACTTCCCAAGGACACCACGTAACTGAAAATTTAGGAAATTTTCTTAGAAAAATAAACATTTTATATTTCAGTTTTAAAATTTAGTTTTATGACATTTTGCTTATATGCTAGAAAGCACTTTTGAGTGGAAGGGACTACACTTTAAAACATAATCTAGTATGAAAGTGTAGCCAGTGTACATGTTCACTCAACAAGGTACCCTGGGATCCAGATCTGGAAAAGGAATGTCCTAAATGACGCAAGTTTCACCCACACATGTCACCACTGGAGTAGGCAGACTCTCTGCCTTGTATAGTATTGTTACATGTTAAAAACCATGTTAGTTCCATGCACAGAAAGGTACTGATCCCTTCTAACCAAAGGAACCAAGCTGACTTACGAGGCCAACAGCATAGCAGCAGTGCCCACCAGCTGAAGTTTTCCTCTCAGCACAGACATGGAGGAAAGGAACCTGTCGATGTAATTCACCGCCAAGTGCAGGGTCTCATTCTGTAGTTTATATTCTTCTCCCACTTCCACTAGCCAGTCCACGAGGATGGCCCTCATGCTGTTGTTGATATCCGGCTGCTTCTTCATGTAGCCCACTTTAGGTTTACATTTAATCTGTTGAGAAAGTCATTTAGCATACTCTTAATGCTGTGGGATTGTTCTACGCTAGCAAAGTGGTTACCTGCTAGAAACCTGAGTACAGCATTACAGTACTGCGCGGGAAGTTTAAAAAGCTCACAAAAGCCCTCAATGCCATCTTACCACACTGAGTAAGTAACACAGACTGGTCCTGAGAGCTTTTACCTCCATTTCCCTGAGGTACGTGTGAATGTCCTCATGGTAGTCTGGGACTTCATTAACACTCACTGGCTTTTCCTCTTCCAACACAATTGACATGTCCATAGCATGTGGTGACTCTGGGAGAATTCACAAGCATGATTAAGTTCCTCGTTTCATTTTCTTTTTTAATATTTCCATTTATTTCAGAGAGGAAGGGAGAGACAATGATACATCAATGAGAATCATTGATTGGATGCCTCCTGCATGCCCCCCTACTGGAGATCAGCCCACAACTCGAACATGTGCCCTTGACCGGAATCCAACCTAGGACCCAAACCGGTTAGGGCCCTCGTTTAATTTTCTATTTACTTGCCAAAAGTGATTGCCCTTGTAGGCGTCCCACAATGCCAAAGCAATTATTTCACTGATGACAAAGTATACAGACTACCTCACTCTGGTTTTAGTGCCTGTCCATTTAGCTTTAGGATGAATTTAATTAATAAGAAAAAATGATAGGCCAATCACAGGTATTATGTTAGAGTATCACTCATCTTCCAGTGGCACAATGGTTCTATTAGGACAGGATTAAATCCAAGTTCTAAGATAACACACAGGATTTGCCCTTAAGAATTTGCAGACCCCCAAGTCAGATGCATTCAAAGCACAATCTAGGCAATAACTAGAAGCAGGGCCAACACTATGTTCAACAAGTGATTCATCTTTTCCAATTTTAAATTACCTTTTGAAGCAAAGAATATCATCCATTTTTGTTTTCACTTCAAGGTTCACTTTAAGGTTAAAATTTATTACAAATTTTAAATAAAAACACATAAATGATTTTAATCCCAAAGGACTACCTCTCACCAGCAGAACTAAAAGTGAATTGAGTTTGGATTTAGTGAGCTGTCCAATGACTCAACAGCCCCAGGTACAGAAGCAGTATATTGTGGGCACAGCTGCTTAGATCCACTATAGATTCACTCTTCTCCTTATAGGTGGTTTAGATATACCGTATTTTTCGGACCATAAGACGCTCCGGACCATAAGACGCACCAGTTTTTAGAGAAGGGAAATGAAGAAAAAAAGATTCTGAAACAAATAGTGTCCTAAAATATTTTATGTGCATTAAAACCCAACATCACAGTCATAAACACATGTAATCAACCCTGTAAAGTAAACAGCAGCATTTAGAACCATTTTAGAGCCGGGCAAGCACACAGAGGCCACACAGAGCCGGGCAAGTAAAAAAACTTTTTTTTAAAAAGTATATGTGTAGGCTATATTTGGACCATAAGACGCAGGGACTTTCCCCCCCCCACTTCTGGGGGGAAAAAAGTGCGTCTTATGGTCCGAAAAATACGGTAAATACCTATGGTTCAACCCAACTCACAGGACAGCTTTCCTCTCTGGTGTCAGAGGATGGCTCAGACTGGTTTCACACAAATGAAATTTTAAAGCTGGAGGAGATGTTAGATATCAGGGCAGGTCAAGCTGCACTCTCACACAGCACTCTCTGAAGTGGAATGCACCAAGTGAGTCTTAGGAATGAATAGAACTGAAATCTCTTCTCCCAACTCTGGGAACATCTCTAAGGTCAGATTAAAACCAGGGTTTGAGATCTAGTTAAACTGATGAGACTGGCAGTGTACTGGAAGGAGCACCCACTTTGGATCTGGGTCTTTTTGTCAGCCACTGGGTCATGTATTAGTTGTGAGGTCTGAAATTAATCACACCCTTTCTAAACTTGTGACATTAAACCAAACTCATAATGTAGTAAGGATAAGATAATGCCTTACGATGCAAAATATCATTAACCCAACCTATTTAATAATTATGATTACATCGATTGATACAGATGTTCATTAAAACTTACCAAAGCTATCATCCATTGGATAATCAAGAGGTACCAGTGGTTTTCTTGGTTCAGGTAATGCAATAGCTGAATTAAACGCCAGGATGTCTTCGCATTCTGTTTCTTTAGACTCGGCTGGGCTCTTCCGAGTCTCTTCTGGTTCATCCACGTGAATGGTAAATGCAGGCTGTTTGCTGTTTGCTTTCCAAGGAGGAACAATGACACGCTCATCATTTACAGGAAGATCCTTCAGAGGGGCAACCTAAGAAGAGACCAATAACTGACTTTGAACTTATTAAATGGAGTGTTGCTGTCTTTCCCTTATGGGTTTCGGCCCTGCTTCTACTCCCAACTACTCCATCAGGAGAAAAAAAAAACTTTCCGGGGGAAAATCCAGGCAAGGAAGTTTGGGTAGTCAAGGAAAAGAAGGGATGGGGAGATCCAAGATGGCTGCGCCCAGGTGAACACCTAGCCGCAGCCGCACACAACAATTTCAATAAAATACAACTAAAATATAAAACGGACATTGCCCAGAACTACAGGAAGGTTGACTGACTGGAAATTCTACAGCGAGAAGCAAGGAGAAAACCAGAAGGAGGTGCGGAGGAGCTGGAAAAGCCAAGGTACGGAGACGCGGCGCGCGGAGAGGACGGAGCCGGAGAGGAGGGAGGCCGAGTGCCTGGCGGGCGTTCCCTAGCGGAAAGGAGATAAAACTCCGACTGTGCTGGGCCCCCGACTGCTCTGATCCCCAGTTTTAAGCCAGACCCCGGGGACTCAGGCTCTGCCATAGGGAGCCGGGCTGTAAGGCGGAACCCCGGGGAGAGGCGAAAGGAGGTCCCGGAGGCGCGCACACTGCGCGCAGAGAAAGGACGGTCGGCTGTGCCGCGGGATTGCCCTGACGGGAAGGAGACTGGGGCTCCAGACTGCTCTGAACGCCACCTCCAACTCCACTTCCAACTGAACTGAACCCCAATACCGGGCTCATTGGGGGAGAGCATAGACTGTTTGGCAGCAGGCGAAAATCGAGGGCACCTTTCTCTCAGAGGCGCCGGCAGCAGCGAGCACTGAAGGACCCGCATAGGGCGGGGCTGACAGAAGCCAAGGCTGTAGGCTCCACCCTGAAACCCCGTCCCATCTGTAACTGCGAAATGCGACAACAAAATAGATCACAAACGAAAGAAATGGAGGACAAAAAGCGTCTGGATATAGAGTTCAAATCTACGCTTACAAGGTTTTTCAAGAATTTCCTAGAAAAGATGGATAAGGCCTACGAGGATATGAAAAGAGATCAACTAGAATTAATAAGGAGTCAACAAGAAATAAAGAATACATTGTCTGAAATAAAAAATATTTTACAGAGTCCTAAAAACAGAAGGGAAGATCGCAAGAATCAAGTCAAAGATTTGGAACATAAAGAGCCAGAAGACACTCCTCCACAGAAGCTAGAAGGCAAGAGAATCCAGAAAATTGAAGATAATGTAAGAAACCTCTGGGACAACTTCAAGCGAACCAACATCAGAATTATGGGGGTCCCAGATGATGAGAGAGAGCAAGATATCGAAAACATACTGAAAGAAATAGTGATAGAAAACTTCCCCCATCTGGTGAAAGAATTAGACTTACAAGTCCAGGAAGCACACAGAACTCCAAACAAAAGGAATCCAAAGAGGACCACACCGAGACACATCATTATTAAAATTCCAAGAGCAAAAGACAAAGAGAGAATATTAAAAGAAGCAAGAGCAAAGAAGGTAGTAACCTATAAAGGAGCACCTATACGATTGTCAGCTGACTTCTCAACAGAAACCATGCAGGCCAGAAGGGAATGGCAAGAAATATTCAAGGTGATGAATAGCGAGAACCTACAGCCAAAAATAATCTACCCAGCAAAGCTATCACTCAGAATCGAAGGCCAGATAAAGAGCTTCACTAATAAAAAAAAGCTAATGGAGTTCATCACCACCAAACCAGAATTATATGAATTGCTGAAGGGGGTTCTTTCAGAAGAGAAGGTAAACAAAGATAAAAATTATGAACAACAAATACGTAACTATCAACAAGTGAATCTAAAAACCAAGGAAATTAAAAAAAAAATCTGATGAACAATATTAACTGTTGAATATAATAGAATCAGAGATATGGAAGGGGAGTGAACTGACGATTCTTGGGGAAAAGGGGAGAGGGGGGCGTGGGAAGAGACTGAACATAAACTGTGCACCTATGGATGAGGACAATGGGGAGAGGGGAAAGGGCAGAGGGTGGGGTGGGAACCTGGTGGAGGAGAGCAATGGTGGGGGGGGGGGGAAAGGAACATTTGTAATAATATGAACAATAAAAACTTATTAAAAAAAAAAAAAAAAAAAAAAAAAAGAAGGGATGGTTCAATTTGTCACAGGCAGGTATACAAAGATTAGAGAGAGTCATGCTGAGTGGAAATATGAAAAAATAATCAAGGCCAAAAGAGGGATGGAGAGGCCAAAAGATGACAAGCTTAGGAAAGGGATGGCAAAAACATGTTGGTCACCACGTTCACCCTGGGGAGGAGCAACAGAGCAAATCCGGTAAAATGGCGGAATTTACCCAAAACAGCATTTTTATATCCTTTCCTAAAGTAGAGGTAACCTCCTAACTTCCCTCTATGGGGAGTCCTAGGGTTTAAAAGCTAAGAGTAAGGCATGGTGGCGGGCACAGACAACACATGTGACAGGGCTTGGTTTGACCCCATTATCTGCAGAAAAATTACCCAATGGAGAACAGACAAGCAGCAAACACAGTGCGGGCCGGGAGTCATGGTTCCCTCCCAGTGGCCTCCCAACACGCCAGAAACCAGGGATCGGGGACCGCAGACCCAGACCTCCCCAGAAGCCTGTGTGTCTTCTCACCCCTCTCCCCTGCCTAACCCCCGGCAGAACCACGCTCATCTGTACCCGTCGCGTCTTGGGCCTCTGCGGCGGCGCTGGAGCCTGCTGGTTCCCGGCCTTCAGGACCGCCAGCCGGGCCCGGGTCCGGGGCTGCTGGGCGGGAGAGGCCTTCTCGGGGTTGATGTTCTCCTGGTCCTCGTGGGGTGCCGTCTGCTGCAAGGTGAGCGGCGCCGAGCCCGCCTCGCGGGCCGCAGAGGAGCCCAACATCACTGCTGCGAGGCCGCGGCGGGATCCGCCTGCGGCGCCAAGCAGCGTGCACTCACTCCCGCCGACCGGCCGCGCAGAGGAACGCTCCCCCGGCGGGCGCCCGCCTCAGCCCGGCCCGCCCGCCCGGGATGGCCGAGAGCCGAGGAGGCTGCGAAAGCGCAGGCACGGCCGCGGTGGTCAGCCAGGGACACACCGAGAACAAGCGAGGGGCCCGCTGGAGCGGCGGCTGTTCAGGCGTTTCAAGTATCCCGCGACTATTGAAATGGGCCAATGACAAGGGCCGCAGCCTGTGACGTCACAGGAGCGACCGGCGCCGAGTGAAGGCGGCCGCGCCCGCAGAGGGGCAGGGGCGTGGCAGGGCGTGGCGGGAGGGCAGCGCCTGCGCGGGCGGGGCCTGCTGTAGGCAGGAGGCGGGGCCTGCTGTAGGCGGGAGGCGGGGCCTGCTGTAGGCGGGAGGCGGGGCCTGCGGGAGGCGGGAGGCGGGGCCTGCTGTAGGCGGGAGGCGGGGCCTGCGGGAGGCGGACTTTAAACGCAGCCGGCCAGGCTGGCTCCGCACAGGCCATTGCCTGAGGCCAGTTAAACGACCCAATGAGCCGCCGCTGCCTCTGGCCCTGGGGACTCAGGTATGTTTCCCCAGGTCCAACTGGCCTGGCCCCTCATTGGCCTGCTAGACTTGGACAAGTTAGTCTCAGTTTTCCTTATCTGTCCCTTGTTAGTATCTACATGTCATACACTTGTGGTCAGGGTTAAATTCTGTGCACAAGTCGTTTAACACGCTCCCTCCCGCTGCAGTGGCAGACTATGTCATCTACCATTTAGGTGTTTCTTCAGTCTCAGGCTTTCACTTTTCCTAATGAAGATGTAATTAATTTGAGGTGCCACCTTGAACAACTGTTGATCTGCATAACAAATAGTAATGTTCCACAAGAAGTTTAACGAGACAGCCATTAATTCCCATTTGCCCCCAAGCTGTAACAGCCAATAAAAAGCACCCAATGACCTACATATAACTGTGTTCCATTTAGAAATGAAGGTTGTTTGAATATAGTAAAATATATGACCTTATTAAAATAAAACTCTTAGTGATAAGTGCCTTTAACAATTTTTCACATTTAATATACAGTAAGGTTCACACACAACAAATATAATGGCGTATAATTAAGAAGCATGATTATTTTCTGACAAATTCATGGGTGTGCCCTTCTTAAAAACATAAATAGCTTATTTTCCATTATAATTTTTTAAAAATATATTTTATTGATTTTTTACAGAGAGGAAGGGAGAGGGATAGGGAGCTGGAAACATCGATGAGAGAGAAACATCGACCAGCTGCCTCCTGCACAACCCCTACCGGGGATGTGCCCGCAACCAAGGTACATGCCCTTGACCGGAATCGAACCTGGGACCTTTCAGTCCGCAGGCTGACGCTCTATCCATTGAGCCAAACCGGTTTTGGCTCCATTATAATCTTTATGCCATTTTAAAGCAACCTTTACAATATTCCCCTCAAATATGAATAAATATGAATTAAATTTAATAAACAAAATCCCCATAGCCTTAAAGTCTTATTTTCCTTCACACATGATATAAAGGAAACATGTGGATGCTAGTAAAAGAAACTCTAAGAAGCCATTACTGTCCTATTCCCACGGGTACAGGTAATTCTACTGCTTACAGAGTGTCACCTTAAGATCACCCCTCCCCTCCATCTGTGCAAGCTCTGCTCATTTCTCTGTCCCACTTTATACCAAACCAAACCTGGTCACAATGCTCATTATCAAGCAAGAGTAAGATCAGTTGCAAATCAATCTCAACTCCTAGAAAAAATAATTGGTAGGTTATATCCACTGGCTGACAACATACATAACCAGGACACAAACAAGGCACCAAAATGTGGGTTCTAGTCCCCAGTTTACAAAATAATAGCATTCTCTCTTCATCACTTAACCTCAGTGAAAATGAGCTTTCTTATGTGATTGAAAATATAATATATGTTGTTAAAATCAAATGAGTTAACGAATGTAAATACATTCTGAAAAATGTAAAGCAGTTTATACTTTATAGTGTGGGAGTGGCTTAAATATTAACATACAGAGGGGCAAAAGATGCATACAGTTGTTAGTATGCAATTTATTCTTGTGTTACATTTTTAATATATTTTTATTGATTTCAGAGATGAAGGGAGGAGAGATAGAAATATCAATAATGAGAGAGAATCATTGATTAACTGCCTCCTGTACACCCGCTACTGGGGACTGAGCCTGAAACCCACGCATGTGCCCTGAGCCAGAATTAAATCATGACTTCCTGGTTCATAGGTTGACACTTGACCACTGAGCAACAGCAGTGGGGGTCTTGTATTATTATTTATTATTACAGTTTTCCATACAAACAACTATAAACCTACTTTAGTCCACACACTATATGGTTTTATTTTTCAAATATTATTTCTTAGCATAAAATTTAAAACAACATTTGCAAAAAAAATTCATTAAAATCCCTTATAATCATTCTACTTGTATCTTAAGAATAAAAATGCTATTTATTTTTAAAAGGTTGCATTCATCACTGAAACCGGTTTGGCTCAGTGGATAGAGTGTTGGTCTGTGGACTGAAAGGTCCCAGGTTCCAGCCAAGGGCATGTACCTTGGTTGCGGGCACATCCCCAGTAGGGGGTGTGCAGGAGGCAGCTGATCAATGTTTCTCTCTCATTGATGTTTCTAGCTTTCTATCCCTCTCCCTTCTTCTCTGTAAAAAATCAATTAAAAAATATATATATATATATATTTAAAATATTTAAAAGTATACTATATATAATAAAAGCCTAATATGGCAAATTGTCCTCTGGGCAGTCATTAACAGGGAATTCAATGACATACACTGAACACAAGGGTGGCCATTGGCAATATAGTGCCCCACTGGACCCCGATGACAGCAGGATGGTGGAGCAGGCGAGCGGGAGGTACCAGGCCAAGGCTGGGGTGCCAGGCAGGGCTGCAGGGCACAAGCTAGGGCCCAATCTCCACAGGCCATCCCCAGGGACCCCACCCAAGCACAGATTTTGTGCACTGGGCCTCTAGTTTGAAATAAAAGTATACACAGTTAGCTTGTAATTTTATTTTAACATTTTCATTTAAAGAGACTTCTCCAGAACTTTACCTTACTTACATTTCATGCAGCAGCATCAAAAAAAGCAATCAATGTGTTTTGGTCATAACTGTCCAGAATCTCCAGTAAAAGAGGTACTTTGGTTTTTACATTGGTGCCTTTGAACTTGAACTTATCTATAAAAAGATCGGTGATCATCCCTATAAAGAAAATGTTATTTCCTGTCATTGATTAGTTCTAATTAATGACACAGTATTTAATGAAAGTAAATGATTGTTAGTCTATTTCTAATCACCTGTTATTCCATTTCTAATCACCTGTTATTCCATTATTTATAAACAAATTTAAAAGAATTGGTGCTGCCGAAATCGGTTTGGCTCAGGGTTCGATTCTGATCAAGGGCATGTGGTTGCGGGCACATCCCCAGTAGGGGGTGTGCAGGAGGCAGCTAATTGATTCTTCTCTCTCATCAATGTTTCTAGCTCTCTATCCCTCTCTCTTCCTCTCTGTAAAAAAATCAGTAAAATATATTTAAAAAAAATAAAAGGATTGGTGCTTTAAAAAAATATTTTGGAGAGATTTTAAAGCAAGTTTCAAAATATAAATCATTTGGCTAATAACTCTCTGAACAACGGCTATGGCATTACTTCAGGCAATCAACTGCTGACCAGTTCTGAAATGCTCTTGGCATACAGGACATTACAAGTGGTTTGCTTTTCACTGAGGCTGACCAAATGACACAGTGTAGAGCAAGCATGTCAAAGTCACGGCCCACAGCCACCTGCAGCCCACAATGAATATTTTTGTGGCCCAGCCAAAATAACGGTATGTAAGAAACGTGTTCCTAACTTAATTTTTACAATATTCCGTTATACATAATTACTAATAACAAATTACTACGTTTGCTAATGACTGATGACTATAATAGTGTTGCATTCATTTCCTTTATGCACCTTATACATAGGCGCACCATTTCTCTCCACTAACACCAGCAGCAAATATTTAACAGCAGATTGCCTCATGGACTGACTTGTTTGGTATATGCAACAGGAAATATTTTGCTTTCAGAGAACAAGAAAAATTAAGTTTATCTGCATTACACTTATTAATTTGTGTAGTTATTCAGTGTCTGGTAAGTTATTTTCCAAGAAAAATATTCATTTTTATTAAAATGTACTATTATTTTATGTTAACAATGACATTTATTTCAGCCCTTTGTATTCAGCATTCTCTATGGAAATAAACATACGTTTCTATGAAAATTGAAGTGTTTTTTTTTTTTTGTGGCCCACATACACTTACACCTGGTTTATTTGGCCCATGTTAGCCTTTGAGTTTGACATGCTGGCTGTAGAGACTCAGTTCTCAACAGGTTTTTTTAGATTAAAATATTCTACCCTAGCTAGTGTTGTTAAGTATCAGCTTGAGCACCAAAGAGTTGCAAGGTTTGATTCCCGGTCAAGGGCTTGTACCTGGTTTGTGGGTTTGCTCCCTGCTCCCAGTTTGGGACTATGTGGGAGACAACCAAACTATGCTTGCTTGCTTGCTTGCTTGCTTGCTTGCTTGCTTCCTTCCTTCCTTCCTTCCTTCCTTCCTTCCTTCCTTCCCTCCCTCCCTCCCTCCCTCCCTCCCTCCCTTCCCTCCCCCCCTCCCTCCCCCCCTCCCCCCCCCCCCTCTCTCTCTTTACTTCCTTCTCTTCCACTTTCTCTGAAAAGGCAGTGGAAAAAATATCGTCGGGCAAGGATTAGCCAAATAAATAAATAAATAAAATTCCATCTATATGTGGACCATTCTTGGGATTTAACCTAAAGGCAAATATTTCTAGGTTCAAGGATCTGGGCAAATTATTGCACCTTTAAGTTCTCTCATATGTAGAATGGGGCTAATTCAAGCTGTCAATCCTTTATCCAAAAACCTAGTTACAAGAGATATTTGAGAATTTTTCAGTTTAGAAAGAAATACAGCTTATCTGGCATAATATCTAAGGGGGTAAACAGAGCAACGTTTCTGCAACAAAATACATAGATAGCCCTAGCTTGCTTGGCTCAGTGAATAGAGCATAGGCCTGCGGACTGATGGGTCCCAGGTTCGAGTCCAGCCAAGGCACATGCCTGGGTTGCGGACTTGACCCCCAGAAGAGGGT